TTTTCGGAGGCAAAAAAGTCGCCACCGCTGGGCTCTAATCATGGGTAAACACAAGAAAATGCTGTCGCGACTCGTTCCTTCACTGGCTTCAAGTCTACCTTTGATCGATTGCACGTGTTACCTTTTCCCTTTGACAGAGCCATCAACACGAAAATCGCGAATTAGTGCCTTGCTCACACGGCATCGGGGGTTAATATCAGAAAATGCTATTTCGATTCGTTTCTTCACTGGCTCCGACTCTATCTTTGATGGCTCCTGATAGACGTTTTCATGCTCTATCGATTGCACATCTTACTATTTCTCTTTGATAGAGCCATAAAGGACAACATGGCTAATTAGTAGCTGGATCATATGCATCACGAGTAAGCACAAGAAAATGCTGTGGCGATTCATTTCTTCAGTGACTCCAGCTCTAGCTTTGATGGCTCCTGATAGAACTTCTCATACTCTGTCGATTGCACATCTTACTTTTTCCCTTTCCAGATCCATCCGGAACAAAATTGGTAATTAGTGTCTTGTCATATGGGATCATGGGTGAACACAAGAAAATGGTGTCGCTATTCGTTTGTTGACGGGCTTCAACTCTACCTTTGATCGATTGCAGGTGTTACTTTTTCCCTTTGACAGAGCCACCAAGGCGAAAATCGCTAGTTAGTGCCTTGATCATATGGCATCACGAGAAAGTACAAGAAAATGCTGCGGGGATTCGTTTCCTCACTGGCTGTAACTCTATCTTTGATGGCTACTGATAGAACTTTTCATGCTATATCGATTGCACTTCTTACTTTTTGCCTTTCCAGATTTACCAGGAACAAAATCGCTAATTAGTGTCTTTATCATATTGGATCATATGGGTGAACACAATAAAACGGTGTCGCTATTCGTTTCTTGACCGGCTTAAACTGTACCTTTGATCGATTCCAAGTGTTACTTTTTTCCTTTTGACACAGTCGCTAATTAGTGCTTTGATCATATGGCAATAGGAGTAAATGCAAGAAAATGCTGTGGCGATGCGTTCCTTCAGTGGCTCCAACTCTAGCTCTAGCGTCGGTTTATTATATGCTTGGATTACTCGCTTTAGCAGGCAGAACTAATTACAGAAAAACTGCTATATAGGGTAAAAATGTGTTATAAGGTGATCAGATCGTGTACAAGTGTTTGAAGTTTGTCTCTGTTTATATGATGTTTTTTACACCTGATGACGTAGACAAGAATGCTTAAGAAAAGAACAAGTACGACAGATACGATAAATGTGCTAAGTTCCTGAATGAATTGTTATGTTTTTGACTGATTTGGTATAAATTGTGTCATGATATCTTTCGCCGATTGTGCTGCTTGTAATTTATATGTTGATAGCAATCTTTTCGTCATGTTTTTAATTGGTATAATGAAAGTTGGCCGATTTAGGAGGTTGGTAAACGACTTGGCTTAAAGATGATTCGACGTTGAATACACGTTGCTGCTGGTAATTGAACGTCCATATATACTATTGTTTTTTCACACGGCGTACGTAAAATTGCTGATCGGTATTATTTCAACTAATCCGTTCGAAGTAGAATGAGCCTGACAATAATTTATTTCACGAATGTTGTACAGTAGCCATATGGCATTGACAATTTGCATAACACCTTGCTGCATATCTCGTGCTCGAATCACTTGACATATGCTAGGAGTTAATGTATCGTCATCCAACAGCTAAGTTAAACACGTTGAGCGCGACAGTGCAATTGACACGGGCATTTTTTGACTTGAACAACAATCGAGAACGTGCATTCATTAATGTCAGACTCATCGTTTCACATAATCAATGCGTGATCTGTTACGTTTACACCGATTGACTTCGGAAGGTTTGAGTAAACGTACTTTACCAAAAAATTTTGTATTTTTTCACGTTGTTCTATATCTTGTATGTGTTTTGTCATGGTGTTCATGGTGACAAAACACATACAAGATATAGAACAACGTGAAAAAATACAAAATATTTTATGGAGGCATGGTAAACTATTCGATACTACTAATCCATCAGTTGTTAATACCACACTGGCACATGCTATCGATACAAGAACTACACTTACACGGAATCTTTTCGGTTCAACTGAATGGACTTTTTCAACACCGTTTTTTCCTTTTGGTGAAAGATTGTGATCTAGTATTTTTCCCGATTTCTTGTACGTTCTAATTAGATAAAACAGAAAAAAAGTGAATAAGGGGAAAGCGACTCTTCTTTCTTACCGAAATTCGGAAGGTAAGCAGAGGAGTATAAGCAAGACACAGAGACGGCTAGTAAAAATCATGTTGATGAACTAATGAACACAAGTGTTCGAATGTTGTCTTCAATTCGCGACGTTCACGTCAAAAGAAAAGAAAATTTTTGCAAAAAATCTGAAGATTGAAAGAGAAGATTGATTTATTCTATGAAATTAGTCTTTGCAGAGATTGCTTATTCTACAAGATAAAATACCTTTTGGAATTTTGTACTCAGACGGTGATGTTAAGCAAACTGTTAATTCTGCTTGATTTGATATTCGTCTTAACTTTGTATTTTTTGATAATGTAAGTTCTCGGCTATTTGTATTAATAATTAATATTTCTGTGGTATTGTTGCTGATATTAAGCAATACATTGGTAGTAAACAAACCTTTCTTACCAAGATTTCCAGCTTATTCAAATATGGATATTCCTTTCACCGTTTATTTTTACTTCTAATCCAACTTCACCAATGACGTTGATCGCTGAACAATTTGCTCATGTATACTGTTTACATTTGTAAATAAAGTTTTATGATGAATTTTTCTTAAGAAGATTTAATCAGTTATTTTGCAGTACATTTAAAAGAGAACGTTGTTCCATATTTCTCGAAGAATCTTTTTACGGTCTTTACGAATTTTTCCAATGTATAGCCCTGTCTTATCAATTTCTTATGTATAGCCAAAATAGCAGCTCGGTACGTTGAAAGATCTATAGATGTTTTGGTACGTTGAAAGGTCTATAGAAGATCTATAGATGTGACGAAATTATAAATCTGCAAACGTTTATCGTCCGGCAAGCTTGTTAACATACGACGAGTATCAAGGATGACACCTAGATATTCAATCATCACTGCAGGATCCGCTGTCTTTTTAGGTGATAAAGGAATATTTAAACGTTTAAAGAATAATTTAAGTGCTATCATATTTGGATCTGGGTCATTGGGCGGTGCGAATGCGATAAAATCATCCAGTAAATGGAGAATGTGAATAATTTTATAGTTACTAATCGCAATCTAGCATATAAGTGTTGATACAGTATCAGAAACTTTTGGACCCGAGCGTGAACCAAATGGTAATCGTTTGTAAAAGTAAATTTTACCTTACCCGCTAGTTCCCAGAAATCTCCAGAGATCCAGATGTACTGGCAACAATTGAATGCGCCTACGATATCTGTCTTAACCATGGAGGTGTTCTGTCCGATAGTGTTTATTAATTGAATGGCCTCATCTAACTTAACGTATTTTGATGCATAAACCGGTACCCCCTCATAATATAAGACCATCTGGTCTTCTATTTTGTCCGCAAGTCGAGTCCTAAAGGGTGAACTTCTATTGCGGTCAAATTTTGTCGCCTGCTAGTAGTCCAACAGTAACCTCACGTACTTGAAGTCCGTCCCCTATTAGAAATGCGCTTTGGTGAAATGTTTTTGAAATTCCCTTATGAGGTATAGGGCATTTTCGGATTTTTTTCGCGGACTTAATAGAAGACCAGTGGTCTTCTATTTGGCTTTCAGGTCATATAATCGCCAGTAATCATCTAATAGGGGATGGTCTTGTATCCAGTCGGATCCGGGTAACATTGATGTTACCAAATTTGTTGCAACATCCGCTTTTACATGTGTCCTTTCACCGTTTATTTTTACTTCTAATCCAACTTCACCAATGACGTTGATCGCTGAACAATTTGCTGATGTATACGGTTTACATTTGTAAATAAAGTTTTATGATGAATTTTTCTTAAGAAACCATGATGAATGATGGTAATGGCGGAGTCTGTGTCGACAAGAACGTTTTTGTACTATCATTAATCTGCACACTGTACCATAGATAATACTCGTAGTCAGTCGTGTGTAAGCTCCGTTTCAATATAGGTGATACACAAAATGCTTTCTTTTCCTGTACGAAAGCAAAAATACCTACATAATGAATGATAATACTCTTTACCTTTTGTATAGGTTGTACTCAGTGTCTCTCTCTTTCTCTTGTATAATCTCCAAAAAATGATCTGACTTACACCGGTCCGCGTGTATCTTGTTTCTGTAATCATACATAACCTATTCAGATGCCATTTGATCAAGGAACTAATTAGCGATTTCTCCTTCATGGCTTTGTGAAAGGGAAAAGGTAACAAGTGCAACTGATAAAGCATGAAAAGTTGTACGTAGTGCCCTTAAAGATAGAGTTGCAGCTAGTGAACAAAACTAATACAGAACTTTTGCACGATCCGTTAATTGCGACGAACATAATTATATTATTGTTTGGTCGGAAGTCAAGAAATCGCAGCAACCAAGTCGGATATCCTTATATAAGATGCTACATTGCATCATCTCGTTTCATCATGCATGATCATCGTATTTCGTGAGACTTTCCTCATCTTCCGTTGTGGTTTCAGGACTAGAAATAGGCTTCTGGGCTACCTAAGAGTCAGATTGTAAGATTATACTTTTCTGTGTTTCTTTATCTCAATATTTTCTAAATAAACACTTGAAATCAGATCCAATTCGGTGATATAAATCAAGCAATCTCTGGTGACAGCAAAGTCTTACAACTATTGTGAATAGAGCCACATAACAACTGGTGATTCCGGTGCTTGTTGCGAACATTACATTATCACAACACGACGAACTCGTGACTATATTAGTGGCTATTACAAGTAGGTGAAAATTTACGTATTTAAGTGGTAATTAGGAGCAATGTAGCAGACAGAACACGATCACGCACAACCTATCCAAGTTTATTGTCAATCGATAACATGAATACAGATCCTAATGAAGACAATGAATACAGTACTGATAATAATAATGATCTACAACATCAAGAATATTCAGGCCGGGGTGATACGGAACAGAATGTTGACGAAGAAACCACATCGACCTTGATTAAGGTAATAACAGCTACCACACAGGATCATAGTTTATTATTACAGCAACAACAACCAAGTATTATTGATGATAACCAATCAGCAGCGTCATTACCCAATACTTCACTCAATGTAGCAACACCAGTACATATTCAACATTTATTAGACAGTATTGTCGATTTTAGTGGTATAAATGAAGATGTTCGAACATAGATACAACGTATTGAATCATTATTTGATTTAGCTGATTATACGAAATTCAAATGGATAAAATTAACAGCATTACATTTAAAAGATCATGCATTATGTTTGTACAATGCCAATAAAAATAAATTTCACGATTGGGATGTATTTTATCAAATGTTAATAAAACAATATACACCAACTCCGATGTCAACTACAACAATCAGGCAAACGATCGAAATAAACGACAATAATAATCTAACAATATCAGCACAAAATTATTTATTACTGACTGAACTAACAACTGGACGACGAAACAACTCATCTACAAATATTCTGAATAAAGAATTATCGTTCACAGATCCTCTCAATAAACCCTCATCATTAACAAAGTTTTCAAATTCATCATCCACGAAAGATTTTTTTAGCACAACGGTTGAACATAAGATGAAACAATTGCTGACATTTAGTGGTAAAGATAATCTCTGTATCTCTATGTCTGAAGATCTTAATATCTGTGTATCTATATGAGTGTACGTCTTCTGTACATTGGAATACCTGAATATCCAAATATCTGTGTATCTGAACATCTACACGGTTGGAAATAATATTTTTTCAGGGAGGTAGAGCTGAAAGTACAGATAATATAAGAATGTATTATATACCAAATTAATGCTCATCTAAAATGGAATTGATGTGTATGACTGAGATTCCGTATGACTATTATTGGCTGTAGAACTGTGGAAGTTTCTGTCGAGTGCATCATAATGAATGAGCCTCTCAGTATTTTATATTTTTCTCGTGTACGTTCAGGATCTCGCGGTTAGTGTTTTTTTTAAAAGATGCGCTACGAAATATTCTACAAAACCATACCTAAACTTTAATTTTAGAACTTTAATCAAGAAAACTACGTAAATTATACGAAAGGCGAAAAAAACGAAAACTTTGTATTGTTGGTTTTTTTTTCGACTTGACTTTTTTCTTCAGCAATTATTCACGTAAAAGAGTGTAGCAAAAGTGAGAACTCAGTTCTTTTTGTACTTCTGAACATGCTGTTTCCTCTGGTCTGTGAAAAATGTTTTTAGAGCAGATGGTGGGCTGGAGAACTAAGTTTCAAAATTTTTCCTCATTTTCAGCAATGTGCCGAAGTAAGAAATGGAAAAACTGATCGATGTTTTGATTTCAGAAATAGAAATAGAAAAGCAATCATTCCTGATCAAAACAAAACAAATCCGATCGAAAAGCGTTTGTTTTGTTGAAGTTACAGGACTTTTACTCAAAGCACTGCTACACCCAGAATTTAATCATTACGACGCACTCGATAGAAACTTCCATAGTTCTACGGCCAATAATCGTCATACGGAATATCAGTCGTACACATCAATTCCATTTTAGATGAACATTAATTTGGTATATAATAAATTTTTATATCATCTGTAGTTTCAGCTCTACCCCCCTGGAAAAATATTATTTCCAAGTGTGTAGAATTAAGAATTTTAGAATTCTGAGCAAGTAAAGTTCAGAATTCTTGAATTCTTAATTCTACAGACAATAACAATGTTTGAACCTTACATTTTGTAATTGTAATCGCGCACATCTGATTTATCCACGTGCTACTGCTCTTCGGTGAAAAGACGGAAAAGACCGATTTTGGCTCTCTGTATGTGTGCCCTTATTTGTGAATATAAATTTGTATGCGTCAAACGTCATAACTTCCACTACTTCAGCTTTCTTCACAGACACAGCAGTTATAATTTAACTAATTGAAAAAATAAAAATAACTCCTAATGTATCGTTGAATTTTGCACGGGACGAGGGACACTGTAGACGTATAGTAGTCTTCTGAAGTATGCAGTTTCTTCTGACTATCTGTTTTAAACTAGTGGATCAAGATGGATCAACGAAAAAGTAATGACAGCTTCAGAAGAATGCCAAATTTCATTTCTCCTGTCTCTGCAGCACTAAATAGATGCGTTGTGCATAGCTATGACTTAGGAACATTTCGTGCATCATTGAGTGATATTGTCTCTTTTATTATAATGCTTGCAGGAGTTCACTTTTTGCTGTTTCATTATTTTAAAATTAAACTTTTAAGAAAACAATGCAATCCGACATTCAACGAGGAGATGCAATAGCATTATATTTCGGTAAGACGAAATTCAGTATTTTACGAGAATTACGATTAGTTTTTATTCTATAGACAATTGATTATTCGTAATTTTATATGGTTAGCAAAAATAATAAACAAAACTAGAGATCAATCTAATGTGAAATATTATACAAGAAGAGCAAATTCAGAAAATGAATTTGGGTTACTTGGAAAGAACTATCAGGTATATGCATTGTCAGTTATTCGTAAAATAACTGATGAAACAAGTACCCAGAAACATGTATCTACTCCTCAAAAAACTTTTGAGTCCATCTTCGAAAGCGTTGTACTTGAAAGTTGTCAGAAGTATTCAACTTTCACACAAGGCACTATAAGGATTTTTATCTATTTTATTCCTCATTTTTTTCTTTTTCGATTTCTAACTAATTTAGGATCGTCTTAGGGAAGCCGTCAAAATTCGCATCGGTGAATTTATTCACCGGTGAATAAATTCACCGGTAATTTGATTGGAGAGAAAATTGAGAACAGAATTATTCAATATGGCTGAAAAAAAGAATATGGAACTATCGTATAACAGAATGAACATGTATTCTTTTCTGTACTATACTT